GACATATATCGATTCCCTTCTGAACAGTGTTTGATGCTCCTCTTCTTGCAATTTCTTGTGGTCCATAGTCTACAATGGTGCTGTGTTTATTTTGCTATTAGTCTTTGGCTAATTGAATTTGTCATACTTGTGACCAAAGCCCTTTTTAACTCTCTTTTACTGGCAATATACCAGGTTATTGCAATATTTTCTGTATAGTCAAGTCATTTCTTTCTCTTCCTGTAGAAAGCATGGGGAGTCAAAGTGAAGCAAAACTCAAATTTTGTATCGACAGAGGGGGCACTTTTACTGATGTCTATGCAGACATTCCTGGTAAACCTGAAGGCCGAGTCATGAAGTTGTTGTCAGTTGATCCTTCTAATTATGATGATGCTCCAGTTGAAGGAATAAGGAGGATTTTGGAGGAATTTACTGGAAAGAAAATTCCCCGTAGTTCAAAGCTTCCTACCAATAAGATAGAATGGGTGAGGATGGGTACAACCGTGGCAACAAATGCATTGTTGGAGAGGAAGGGGGAGAGAATTGCACTGTGTGTCACTCGAGGCTTCAGGGATTTGCTCCAGATTGGTAACCAGGCTCGTCCACATATATTTGACCTCACTGTATCAAAACCATCGAATCTGTATGAGGAGGTTGTAGAGGTTGATGAGAGGGTTGAGCTGGTTCTTGATAAGGAGGGAGTAGATTTGAACCCTTCTCCATCACTTGTTCAAGGTATTTCGGGCGAGCTTGTCAAGGTTGTAAAGCCACTTGATGAGGAAGCTCTGAAACCGTTACTGAATGCTTTGCTGCAAAAGGGTATTAGTTGCTTAGCTGTGGTTTTGCTTCACTCTTATACTTACCCAGATCATGAGATACTTCTGGAAAAGTTAGCGCTTAGTTTGGGCTTCCGGCATGTATCTATATCATCTGCTTTAACTCCTATGGTTCGAGCTGTTCCTCGAGGTTTTACAGCAAGTGTAGATGCATATTTGACTCCCGTTATTAAAGAATACTTGTCAGGTTTTATGTCCAAATTTGATGAAGGACAAGGGAAGTTGAATGTTTTATTCATGCAGTCGGATGGAGGGCTTGCACCAGAAAATAGATTTTCAGGCCACAAAGCAATTTTGTCAGGTCCTGCTGGTGGTGTAGTTGGTTACTCTCAGACACTCTTTGGGATTGAAACAGACAAGGCCCTAATCGGTTTCGACATGGGTGGTACCTCCACTGATGTCAGCCGATATGCTGGTAGCTATGAACAAGTTATAGAAACCCAGGTTGCTGGTGCAATAATTCAAGCACCTCAGCTCGATGTAAACACAGTCGCTGCTGGTGGTGGATCAAAGTTAAAATTTCAGTTTGGTTCTTTCCGGGTGGGACCAGATTCAGTTGGTGCACATCCAGGACCAGTTTGTTACAGGAAAGGAGGGCAACTAGCAGTTACAGATGCAAATCTTATTTTAGGTTATGTCATTCCTGAATTTTTCCCTTCCATTTTTGGTCCCAATGAAGACCAGCCATTAGATATTGATGCTACCAGGGAAGAGTTTGAAAAACTTGCAAGGCAAATCAATTCCTACAGAAAGAGCCAGGATTCATCTGCGAGGGACATGACAGTTGAGGCGATTGCACAAGGCTTTGTGAATGTTGCCAATGAGACCATGTGTCGTCCAATACGACAGTTGACAGAAATGAAGGGCCATGAAACAAGCAACCATGCTCTTGCTTGCTTTGGAGGTGCAGGTCCTCAACATTCCTGTGCCATTGCTAGATCACTTGGAATGAAGGAGGTTCTTATTCACAGGTTATGTGGGATCTTAAGTGCATATGGTATGGGGTTAGCTGATGTGGTAGAAGAGGCACAAGAGCCATATTCAGCTGTTTATAGTCCTGATTCTGTGATTGAAGCCTGTCGCAGAGAAATTATCTTGCTGAAGCAGGTGAAGTCAAAGCTGCAGGAGCAAGGGTTCGGAGAAGCAAGTATCAACAGTGAAACATACTTGAACTTAAGGTACGAGGGAACAGACACCGCAATCATGGTAAAGAGACCAATCAATGATGATGGATCAGGAGGTGATTATGCTGCTGAATTTGTCAAGTTGTTCCAACGGGAATATGGATTTAAACTTCAAAACAGGAGTATAGTTATATGTGATGTTAGGGTTCGCGGTGTTGGAGTCACTAACATACTGAAGCCTCGAGCCCTAGATTCTTCCCCTGGTGCCCCTAAAATTGAAAGTCACTACAAGGTATACTTTGAGAGTGGATGGAATGACACTCCTTTGTTCAAGCTTGAAAATTTGGCATATGGGCATGTTATTCCTGGCCCAGCAATTATCATGAATGGCAATAGTACTGTCATTGTTGAACCTAACTGCAAGGCCATTGTTACTAAATATGGTAACATTAAAATAGAGATAGAGTTGACTTCCAATACGGCGAAGGTAGATGAAAAAGTTGCAGATGTTGTACAACTGTCAATTTTCAACAACCGGTTTATGGGAATAGCTGAACAGATGGGGCGCACCTTGCAGAGGACTTCTATATCAACAAATATTAAAGAGCGCCTAGACTTTTCTTGTGCACTTTTTGGCCCTGATGGTGGGCTTGTGGCAAATGCACCCCATGTTCCTGTTCACTTGGGGGCCATGTCGAGCACCGTTCGATGGCAGCTGAAGTACTGGGGTGATAAACTAAATGAGGGAGATGTTTTAGTCACCAATCATCCTTCTGCTGGTGGTAGCCACTTGCCTGATATAACTGTTATTACACCTGTTTTTAACAAAGGTAGATTGATATTCTTTGTCGCAAGTAGAGGGCATCATGCAGAGATTGGGGGTATTACTCCTGGAAGTATGCCACCTTTCTCAAAGTTCATATGGGAGGAAGGAGCAGCAATAAAAACATTCAAGCTTGTTGAGAAGGGTATTTTTCAGGAAGAAGGAATCACCAAGCTTCTTTGTTACCCCTGTTCTGAAGAATCAACTCATAAGATTCCAGGGTCGCGCAGGCTTCAGGATAATTTATCTGACCTTCACGCACAAGTAGCTGCAAATCAGAGAGGAATTACCCTTATTAATGAGCTTATTGAGCAATACGGTCTGGAAACTGTACAGGCATACATGAACCATGTGCAGGCTAATGCTGAAGAAGCAGTGAGAGAAATGCTTAAATCTGTTGCTGGGAGAGTTTCTTCCGAATCAAAAAGGTCTGGAGAGGGAGACTTAGTGACTATCGAAGAGGAAGATTACATGGATGACGGGTCTTCCATACACTTGAAGCTTACGATAGATTCTCGGAAGGGAGAAGCATTTTTTGATTTCTCTGGGACCAGCACAGAAGTTTATGGTAATTGGAATGCTCCAGAAGCAGTGACAGCTGCTGCAGTTATTTACTGTGTACGCTGTTTGGTGAATGTTGATATTCCTCTCAATCAAGGTTGCTTGGCTCCTGTAAAGATTTATATACCTCCTGGTTCATTTCTCTCTCCAAGTGACAAGGCTGCTGTGGTGGGTGGTAACGTTCTTACATCACAAAGGGTCACCGATGTCGTTCTCACTGCATTCCAAGCTTGTGCTTGTTCCCAGGGTTGCATGAATAATCTAACCTTTGGTGATGACACTTTTGGTTACTATGAAACAATTGGAGGTGGAAGTGGGGCTGGACCTACATGGGATGGGACGAGTGCAGTCCAGTGCCATATGACCAACACTCGCATGACAGATCCAGAGATCTTTGAGCAAAGATACCCAGTTATATTGCATAAGTTTGGAATAAGAGAGAATAGTGGTGGTGCTGGACAACATAAAGGAGGTGATGGCATTATCAGGGAGATAGAATTCAAACGTCCAGTCATCGTCAGTATCCTTTCAGAAAGACGCGTGCATGCCCCAAGGGGACTCATGGGTGGAGCAGATGGGGCTCGGGGTGCTAATTTCCTCATCACCAAAGATAAAAGGAAGGTATATGTTGGTGGTAAAAACACAATTGAGGTGCAGGCTGGGGAAATACTTCAGATTCTTACCCCTGGAGGTGGTGGCTGGGGTTCAATATGAACAATCCCAACCAAAAACTTCTGCAAATCTCATGGATTCCATTTCAGAGGTTGCAGTTACATACTCTCCATGCCACAGACACATCCACAGAGAAGAAAAAGCATAACACCAAATAAGGGAAATGAGGACATGAACTTGCTATCGATTAGAATTTCTCCGTTTTAAAGATGTGTGAATTTTGAATAATTTCATGACTTCATATCAGCTGCTTGGTCTATACATGCCTCTGTTGTCATCTGGGGGGGATAAAGTGCCCTTCTTGTTTGTCTTTTGGAAACAACCTCTCTAATAAAAATGTTTCCTTTTCTTCGATCTTGGGTGAACGCAGGATGGTTTCGAAAATGAATTAATACTATATGTTATTTCATGGTAGTGCTTTCACTTGATAAGTTACTCTTTTATTCTCCCTTTGTTCCTGCATTTGATAAGTGACCAGTAATATAATCAAAGAGCAATATTTGCTGTTAGTTTTCAAAATTCAAACAACACTCCTTCCAAATCATATGAATTTTCTGTTAATCTAATAGCGCTAATTAAAAGGGTAAAAATACTTGATTGAACAAATATTCCTATCGGAAATACTAATATATTCTATAGTTTAAAATAACTATACTATATCATTTCACAAATTATTAATTTCTAATCAAATGCACGGTCAACAACTCAACATGTATCTTTTGATACTAGATACATGTATTTGATACCCAATACATTTTAAAGTATAAATTGGGGTTGCAATTGCGCTTGTTTTGGAACCCCAATTTAGACGTTGTCTCCCCCTCTTGATTAAATGTTACCCTTTTGGTTTCAAACTTATTTTGTTGCCCTTTTAAAAATTTCACTCAATTTTTTTTACTTTGGACTCCGGATCTATTCGCATGTATCTAAAATACGAGTGCGGGCCAATTTTGAACTTCTCCCCGAAAGGAACAGCAAAAGAGGTTTTTGGGAATTGAAAGACAAGGAAGAGAGAGTGACACTCCCGCGCAAGAAGGAGGGTGGCAATGACTTCTGCTTCAACTTGTCAAACTCAAAGGGTTGACGAGGAGAAGGAACCCAAAAGCAGCAATTCATCGAAATCTTGTTTTCAGCCAACAGTGAGTGTCTTTCGTAGCAATCCCTAAAAATTGATTCTAGTTTATTCTCCTGAATTTTGATTTTTTTGACAAAAAAACAGGTCAGTTTGAAAGATTGGTGGCTTATTAGGGCTGAAAGAGATTCTCAAGGAAGAACCCTTGCCGTTGCTGGGCTCACTTCTCGAGAGTAAACTTTCTCTTCCTTTTTTTTTCTTGCTTTCAAAGTTTTGTTGCAACTTTTAAGCTCCCATTTGGCCATAGATTTTGAAGTTGAAACTTGAGAATTTGAGTTTTTCAAGTTGTGATTTTTTTTTCTAGACCCCACTTGTGGGATTTTATCGGGTATGTTGTGGTTGTTGTTGTAAAGTTGTGATTTTGAATATTTGAAGCTGTGTTTGGATATACATTTTACTTGGAAAAATCTGAAGTTTGTGGGTACTCGAAAAGATTTGAAAAATCTGATAAAATTTTATGGTCAAATAGATATTTGAAGATAAATTTTCAAAATGTACTCCCGAAATCTATGATCAAATGCTAGTTTATAGTTGGTTTTAGGTATTTGGGGTTTTGTGATTTCGGATTTACTATGTGGTCATTCAATTTCTTGGACACCTTGGACCTAGGTATTGTTAAAATAGGCAAATTGGCAACCGTATTAAAGAAGTAAAATACATCTGAAGTAAAAGGATGATGAGGCCGAGTAATTTATAGAAGCAGTACGTGGTTATATTTGGTTGGGAAAGCCGGAGTTTTCTCAACTTAAGACCTCATTATAATTAAAGAACCCAACAAAGACATAGCTTTCCTGTAGTTTTTCTGTTATAGCTGACTCAGTAAGTGGCATTTTGCACTCAGATCCTTTTGTTTTAATCACTCTACTATATTTCTGTAGGGGTCAAGCTCTGCGAGGATTCACTTCTGCACCAATTCTCAAGATATATGATGTTTTTAATCTTGAGACCATTGATGGGATATGCGTTGTCCTCAAAGGCTTCATAAACAAAAGTCGTTCAGAGGAAAATGGTTTTCCATCTGAGGTATGTTACGAGCGACATGCCGTATTTGTTTGCCCATGAAATCTTTTTGTTGATGTGTTATCCAATTAATCGTATTGTTTGATTAGACTATCATCACAAAGATGGACGCTTTCTCTAATTGCAGTAAGGATCTGTGGTTTCTCTCGACTTTAAAAGGAAAAGGAATAAAATAATAGCAGAAAGAACATACTTGTTTAGGTTCTTATGCTAGTACTGCACAATGATAATAGAATATAGAAGTAATTACTGATAGGTTAGAAAGTATAGAAGAAGATAGAGAGAAAGACAAGCTATTGCCTAGAGCAACTTCAGTTTACTTGAAAACTGTTTTAATCTAACTTTAGTCCCGAAGGGTCATGTCAAACCCAAACCCCTTTTGAGAAATTTTCTCAAAAAAGTTAAAGTGAATCTTTTGGATATCTCAATATAAAGAAGGATACAATAACCTACTCACTTTTCAATGAGAAAGATCTCTGTGATTGTCTTGTTAATATGTTGAAGATGACAAATAGACACCCTTCTATCCTACATTTGAGCGTTTGTATTTGTCTCAACCCCTTAACTGAAGCCTTACTTAGATGAGGTCAAGTTTAAGGAGAAACTTCATCGTTAGCTGAACTATTGGTTCCTGATAGATAAGGCTAGAGCAGGTCCCTAGGAAAATCTGACGCTGGTAGATATAGAAACAGTCACACCCATTTGTAAATTGTAACTGGAGTAAAAATTTGTGAACACAGAAGGAAAAATGTGGTTTGGATATCTTACAAGTGAGAAGAAGTGAGACTTCGAGGGGCCTTCAAGACCAAAGGACCGCTAATATCTTCTAACAGCAATTTTTGATGCAATATCTTCTCATCAGGAGACAGTCTAAGCTGTTAGGCCTTTGTGGGCATCTTTTAGCTCAAAACTGTGACCATGGAGACTCAGATGGATTACAAAAATAAGAATTGCCAACTGTATGCATAGCATATGTAGTTATGAAGCAGATTTTTCATGACTTAATGTAGAGATTCATTTGATAAGTTGCTGAAATTAACTTCTTAAATAATGTAGAACAATTCGTTTGATTGATCATAACCATTGCAGTGAAAACTGGGCTCTATCAAAAGCTAAGTCTTTTGAGTAGCTAATTCAGTATACGTACTCTACTGTTCTAGCATATTTACAAGGCTTCTCGATGCTAACCTCCTCTACTATACTACATTTTATTAAACTATGATTCATCAGAAGGCCTTTATTGATTGGTAGTAAATTAAAAATTGGAAGGAGAAGGTGCGTCCTACCGAAAATAGTTTTTCCCGTAAATTGGTGTGTCTTCTATTTTATTTTTTTTAAGTTGACAAGAGAACACTTCCATCAGACTTGGTTAGAGAAGTAGCAAAGCTTAAATGGGTAGTTCATTATACTAGAATAATTTTTAGTTTGTTGTAAAGGTTAGATCAACTATTTTAGGGTGTCTATAAGTTTGATTTATCAGGAATCAAATAGCATTATCTGGACAAAAAAATGTTTTCTGTACAGAAATACACAAAAATTGTGAATGATGGATAAATTATCATCATCATTCATAAATTTGTCTCAAATGATTCTAGGAGTCCCGATTATTTGTAGTTTATTAGCATTAAATACAGATGTATATCTTGTTTTTTTCTTTTGGTATATCATGGCTATTGCAAATGACGTTGGTGCTATAATTGTCTGTCTGAGCTCATTACACAATACGTAATGTAGCCTCCTGTGGTAAATACGTCCCAGCATTTACTTATTGCTGAAATCAATATACTACCTTCAACAATAATAATAATAAAAAGATTCTAGGAGTCCCAACATAGACAATGTCTCAATATAAGAAAGTGATAATAGTTTATTTATCCTCATCATCTCTCCTTCTGGAAAAAAGCCAGAAAAAAAAATACTTCTAAGAACTTGGTGCAGTTTTTTACACTTATGGATTTCTTTGTTTGATGAAGTTTTAGCAATCATCATATGCTGACGTAATGTAGCCTCCTGTTGTAAATACGTCCCAGCATTTACTTATTGCTGAAATCAATATACTACCTTCAACAATAATAATAATAAAAAGATTCTAGGAATCCCAACATAGACAATATCTCAATATAAGAAAGTGATAGTTTATTTTTCCTTGTCATCTCTCCTTCTGGAAAAAAGCCGGAAAAAAAAAAAAACTTCTAAGGACTTGGTGCAGTTTTTTACACTTGGGATAGAAATCAGGGATTTAAATCAGGGATTTCTTTGTTTGATGAAGTTTTAGCAATCATCATATGCTGACCAAAGGCATTCAGACAATTATGTTACCGTCACAAAGAAAAGTAAAAGTGATTTTTGATAATTATAATTGGCGATCCTTTGAATTCTTGTCAGTGGTTCTGTCTTTACAGGTGATCGGACAGTTTCTTTTTGGTTTTCCTCCTCAATGGGAGACGTTCAATGAGAAATTCTTAGGAAGAGAATCTAAAGGTAAGGCTTCTGCAAGTGATGCCCTTTGTTTTGAAAAACCATCCATGTACTCTGAAAGTAAGTTCACTCTATGAACCTATTTGTATGTCTGAAAGTTGCCAAGTTTTTGTTGTAGTCTGCTTATACTTTCTCTGCAACCTGCAGAGGTTAAAGATCTAAAGAAGTTAGATCAAAATGATCATGTAGAGACTACCGGTGAAACAATTCAGGATCATAATGGGAGAAAAGATTATGAAGTAGAAGACAATTTGATGAGGGACAATCAGAATGATGGAGAAGTTGCAAATGAAGTTATTGTACAAAAGAAGAAAAAAAGAGCAACAAGGTCATCGGACCAGCTTAATTCTACAAACACTTCTACAAGCATTGCAAAGGAGCAAGGAATACTGGATCATAATGGGATAAAAGACTATGAAGTAGAAGACAATTTGATGAGGGACAGTCAGAATGATGGTGAAGTTGCAAGTGAAGTTATTGTACAAAAGAAGACAAAAAGAGCAATGAGGTCATCGAACAAGCTTAATTTTACAAACACTTCTACAAGCATTGCAAAGGAGAAAACAATACAGGATCGTAATGGGAGAAAAGACTATGAAGTAGAAGACAACTTGATGAGGGACAATCAGAATGATGGAGAAGTTGCAAGTGAAGTTATTGTACAAAAGAAGACAAAAAGAGCAACGAGGTCTACGGACAAGCTTAATTCTACAAACACTTCTACAAGCATTGCAAAAGAGCAAACAATACCGGATCATAATGGGAGAAAAGACTGTGAAGTAGAAGACAATTTAATGAGGGACAATCAGAATGATGGAGAAGTTGCAAGTGAAGTTATTGTACAAAAGAAGACAAAAAGAGCAATGAGGTCACCGGACATGCTTAATTCTACAAACACTTCTACAAGCATTGCAAAGGAGCAAACTGCAGATGTTAATCGAACAACTCACTTTAAAAGTTCAAGCACGGAAAATGCAAAAAGAAAATTGTCATATGTCAGTAGGCGCTCATAGAAAAGTCATCTTAATTTTACATTATGTGTTCTTGTGACATGAAAGTGCACTTCTCATTTACATGTTTAGCAGGTTCTAAAATAAATTAGTGTTTTAGAAGCATGACAGTTGTTGAGCCTTTATAACCCTCATGATTCTAGGTTTTTTTTTTTATAACCGTGGTGTCCGGGCTAGCTTGTGCGCACCTCGACTAATTCCACGGGATACCTGAGTGTAGCAAGCACGCTCTATACTTTTCACCAGCTTTCCCTCTAGTAAAGGATTAGCTCGTACCCTCTCTCTGTGTTTAGGGATTCCTGTCCCACCAGCAACCATGGTTCTAGGTATTTCTCAAACTAATATTTCTTTTTAAATTTGCAACAAGTTTTGTTAGTATGAGATTTCTAGGTAAGTTAATATGGATCTGGTATGAAGATTTAAACACGAGAGGAAAGCTATTAAAAACAGTGATGGCATCTGCTTGTGTGAACACAATCCAAGCAATTCCATCTTCTTGTTTTCTGGGTGGGGGTGTCTTAGTCCCAAAAGAGATCCGATACTTCTATCTTTTCTTGGCTGTTCCTCATTTAGCTGTTTATTTCAATTTTTATGGTTAAGTTTGTATTATTGCATCTTTTTTCTTGTTCCCTTGCTTTTATAATTGGTTAATCGAATTGAACAACTGATACCTGGTAACAGTGTGAACTTGATAGCTACTTCCAATGCTAAATGTGTCCTTTTATACTTTTTGATCATCATTGTTAGAAACAAATTCCACCCCCTATTTTTGGTTATATGTTTGATTATTTTTAAGTTTTTTATTTTTCCTTTGTTTACTTAGGGAAGTCCTCAGCAAGGGAAAGAGGCAGTTCGACTTATCTCTCCTGAACCTTTGAGTTTTAACAGATCTAGATCAGGTGCATTGGTCATCAGAGCTAGCTATTTCTAGGGTTCTCAGATTTTTTTTTTTTGTTTATGATTATGTATATATATAATGTAAAATTTGCCTGCATTTGTATTTCTGTAGGGAGAGTGCTACTTCCTCCGATGGCATTTTGGCGCAATCAAAGAGCAGTTTATGATGCGGTTAGTCATCAGATTTTGCATATACCTTTATATAACTCGGCCATGAATCTTGGGCTATCATCTAATCTTATGCACTTTACGGTGCTACAGATTCTTTTCACCACAGGCATCTCATGTCATATGCATCTTTCATTCTTAGCAACTAGATTCTATGCCTAATTTGAAGCAGATTTATCATCTTTTAGGCTTTGGAATTTGTTAACCTTGGGTGTATGGAGGAGTACTTAGGGTTTTCATCTGTGTATCTCCTTTCAGGCGTATTCTTATTTGCTCTTATTAAGGAGATATGTATCTCAAAATTGGTCCATCTTCTTATAACTACCCTTATATATGTTTCAGGATCAGAGGGTTACAGAAGTTATACAAGGCGACCCGAATCTGGATTATCTATCTAGAGGTGCTACACAATCTCTTTATTTTCCTTATGAGATGATTCATATCAAGAATTTTGCTTGAGTGAGGAGTGAAGAAATTCTCTTCTAGCTCCCAAACCTATTATTTACTTGTAAAATAGATCTTTCCTTGCTATATTCACAGTTGTCCTTTTCATGCCTGTGCTTATGTAATTTATTGGATGTTTATGGCTTTGGCAGTGTGTAGATCTGAACCATCAAAAAAGAGACGGCAACACAGATGAAAGTTAAAGCTCCTATTGTCTAGTGGAAATGTAAAGGTATGTTAAGTATTCACCGTTAACATCTTTGAATCTGCCGATCTTCACAAAACAATCTAAGAGTGTAATTGTTGTCAAAGGCGCTCTTAAAGCAAGGCAGAAAACATGTAGAGCGCTTTGCCTCACTTTGTAGGTGCTTCAGTGTCTTCAAGGCTTTAAGACATACTTTCTTTGCCAATGAGTGCAATCTTGAAGATGCGACACTAAACAATTGATATTTTACTTTATCATAATGTCTTTTCAATTTCTTTGTCCATATATTTATTATTCATGCTTGTGATTATTAATCTTGGATTACACGCCATTTGCACCTTTAGTCAATAAAAGTCCATGGTTTATTTGCGCTTATAGTTTAGAGCTTTTTTGTGCTTTTCGCTTTTGATGACACTGGAGTCTATGTTGATACTTTTTGGAAGGATTCAGAGTAACTTCCATCTTTGTTAACCAGAAAGTTGATCAACTCTGTACATCTTTATACATGTTCTCTGGTTATGTTTTTGGTTAAAGTGGATGTTTATCTTTGCTAATAAAAGACAGAGCAACAAACAAAGCGAAAGACCTCATGAGGGTTGTATTTGGTTTCAAAGAACTAAACTAATTGTTAGTACTCCACAACTCTTGACAAGATTCCTTACTAGTCCTCTCTGTATGGGTCGTCGTGATGCATATAAGCAAAAGTTGTAGAAAATCAGTTTCTGAACTTAAACTAAAAGGCGAAAAAAAAACTTCCTACTTTTATTTAGTTTCTGCTATTGCCTCTGTTTCACTGTTTGTTTAGCCGAGGACAAAGGTGGAGGTAAGGTTTGCGTACACTCTACCCCTCCAAGACCCCACTTGTGGGATTACACTTTGTTTGTGTACTTGTTTACTATTATTTAGTTTCCCTTTCATAATCAAAGTTGCGGATTTTCTCGCTTAACTCTCTTTGTTAATGTTTTGTTCAGGAACCTAAAGGGGAGGCATAAGCAACACTGGCACATTTGTACAAAAATGTGTGAAGGCTCTACAGTTTACTAATGCCATTTTTGGATGCATATTTACTAGACAGATATCTCTTTTGTTTCTTAGAACAGCTTGCAAGCTACGATGTTAACTCATTTATGCAGATAGTTATGTTAATATATAGGTTCACTTGGACTGTATCTTGGTATATCTGAAAGAAAAAAACTTTTCAAACACATCATGGTGTATTGTGTATCAGAAATAGTTTCTCCGTCTTCACAAAGCAGGGTAAGGTCACTCTCTCCAGACTTTTCAAACACATCGTGGTGTATGATGTATGGTGTATCAGAAATAGTTTCTCCGTCTTCACAAAGTAGGGGTAAGGTCACCCTCTCCACTTGTGATATTACATTGGATATGTTATTGTTATGTCATGGTCACGTGTTGTCTTCCATGTGAATACCATTCTTTTTTAGTTCAAGGACTCAAAAATCTATTAGTCAATATGAATCTCGAGAGTGGATGGTTGATTGTTGCCTCCTTGTCCGATAGGCTTTCCTATCGAGATTGTTATGGTCCATCAATACAAAAATATCCGTTAGCCTATACACTGAATAATTTTATGTATTAACCAAGTTTAAGCAAACGTAAACTTGATTATTTTATCTGATTCTTACATTTCGTCAGCTCAGATATTGAATAACTCTGCCAACAAAGTTTAAGCAAATTAAACCTTGTCGTTTGGTTGGGAACAGGTTATCCCACTATGTTTATGGGATAACTTATCCCATGCTATGATATAAATGGTGGGATAAGTTATCCCAAACATGACAACCAAACAAGAAATCAAAATATTATCCCAGGACTATTTTTTATCCCATGACTTTTATTCTTATCTGTCACACCAAACGACCTCTATATATTTAACATGATTGCTACTTTCCATCGGCATGGGTACTGAATAATTCTGCTAGCCCATTAAGAATGAACCTCGAATATTTTATTCAATATTTACCCTCCAACAACAAAGAAATCGAATAACTCTGTTAGTCAAGCTTAATCAAATGAGACCTTAATTCTTTATCTAATTGTTATCTTTCACCAATGAGTATTAAATAACTTTATGAGTTGTTAAATTTCTCATGATTTTCATCCACTTTGTTGTTAAGTAATTTATATTCTAAATTTAAAAACAATATGAAATATTTCTTATAAGAAAATTTTCAATTTTTTTAAAAAAAGAATCGATTCCCCACATCCTGGACTTCTTGTCTTTTGAGTACATCATATGGTTTTTTTCCAAGTGAACAGAAAAAAAAAAACTTTTCTTTTGTTGAGATTTGTCCATGTCTAGAAGAAACAATGTATAAATAAAGCAATTATTATTGAAACTATAAGATTATAATTGTTTTTTCTTGATGATTTCATCTTCCATGCATGTCCACTCTAAAAAAAGATTGATAATTTACTATTTGAAAATGAAAGGACAATATAGAGAAATCATTACATCTATTTTTCCACTTTGTAATTTTTTGTGGGTGTTAAAAATTCTCAAACAAAAAATAATAAAATTACTTTCTTCTAGGCAGTGGTGGATCTAGGCTTTTAGAAACAACCGTGTTAAAAGTGAGATTCAAACTCAGGCTCAGCAACACTAAAACAGTCTTAAGCACCCATGAGCTATTAAACTAGTCAAAGCATTTATTCATTGGGTGCTCTATGTTAATACAAATATTTCTTAATTTTTACATAGATATGCATAATTTGATACAAGGTTAATGGGTGCTCGAGCACCCGGAGGTATCTATGTGGGGTTTGCCCTTGCCTCTATGTATGGATTTAGTTGGGGAGGGTTCATGATTCAGTTTGAATTGATTCAAATAAATATTTATATAATCGATTTAGTTTAATTTTTTGATTATTTTACGCCTTAGAATCAAAACTAAACCAAATTTAATATAGATTCTTTTTCTTCAATTTTCAAATCTTTCATGAACTTTTTTGAGATACAAAAATATTCAAAAGTCAAAACTATCCACAAAAATAGCTATTAACATGAAATAGACCACTCTATATATGGCTTCCCTCAAATTTTCTACTTTTTTTTTTTTTTTTTGTGTGTGTGGGGAAGAAAATAAATAATTTATGTTTAGTGGAGCCACACCCATCCACTATTTTATGTTCAACAAGTGCAGATTATAATTTTTTGTAGTTTTCTACAATTTAAATCATTATAGAGAAAGAGGTATAATCTAATTTGGTCCTCAAATAAATAAATAAATATAAATAATTGTTTTAAAAACAAAGTTTTATTTTTTAGTTATTATTATTTGGCAAGTTTCGATCCATTTAATAAATTTGACTTTGTTCAATCATTAATTTTTTGCTTACGACCTTCCACTAACATAGTGGATCAAATAGTATAAAATATTTCATCATTCTTTTCTGTTGATTCTAGAGTTATTAATTAGTATAATTTATATAAATCTCATAGTATTAAGAGTCAATTATATTATTTTTTTTATTGTTTTTTAAATTATATAATTTCTTAAATTTTATGAATTCCTGATACATCACTTGGACTTTCGGATACATGACATCCAGATATGTAGGGGAGGGATGTATTTGAGAGGGGAAGAATGTATTAGAGAGGGGATAGGACATCCGAATATGTAGCAGAGAGATATATCAGAGAGGGGAGGAATGTATCCGAAAGGGGATAGAGATGTATTAGCGAGAGGGAATTGGTGTATCCGAGAAGGGATATATATATATATATATATATATATATCTTCTATACTACCTTAAAAGCATGAACTCCCTAACTTGAATGTTAAATTACTATAATACCCCCCAACTTAAAACACTAAATTTAGTATATATTCTATATTTCATATTTTATTTATTTATTTATTCTATATTATATTAAAACCTGACACTCTTTCACATTGATGGGTAGTGAGTTTATCGAAAAGTTATGACATTTCTGACAATTTGTGATTTTTCTGAAAGTTCTGACTTATTTGATAAGGCACGATAAGTATTTTTTCATACTAACATTTGTTGTCTATAAATAGAGGAGTTTTCTTCCACTTTAAAACTACAAATTTTGTAAGTTTTCTATTTTTCTTCTTAAAATAAGCAAGATTGTGAGAGTTGTTCAATTATGCAATTACATGTTTTTTGTGGTTAAATTAGATAGATCAACAAAATTGATGCAACAAGGAGAAAGGAATAACTCAACTCCAAATGAGAAGACTATCTAGATAATTAATATGTACTCACTTTCATAGCCATAAATATACTTTTGCAGCAACATCTACTTGACAAGAAGTTCAATGAATTTTGTGTTGCAAAAACTACAACTTGGTGTACTAGCTATGAAAAGTCAGAAATTGTTGGAGAAAAAAGATTACATCAAAAACTTGTTTGAAGAGTCCAAACTAGATTTAACAAGTAGTCTCATGTTTCCAATTTATTTGTTCTACTTTTATTTTTATTCAGTTCAATATAGAATGTTCTTTTTTCTTGGGGGTGGAGGAACGTCTTTAAGACCTCAAAGTTAAAAAACTTTTTTATATATTCTACATATCCTTAAATTAAAAGTCTTCTTTAATTTTTAAAATTTCATATCAAATTAAAATTAGACAAATCTATATCTATATTTTTGTTACCTATATCTATACTACCTTAAAGAATGAACTATCTAACTTAAATGTTAAACTATTATAATACCCCCAACTTAAAACATCAAATTTCATATATCTATATTTTATATTGTATTATACTTATATTATATTGTAATATATAATATTTTATTAAAAGAAGACACATTTTTACATTGAAGGGTTGTGACATTTTCGAAGAGTTATAACTTTTTCGATGAGTTGTGACCTTTCTACAGGGTTGCGACTTTTTCGAAGAATTGTTACTTTTTCAAAAAATTGTGACTTTTTCGAAGGGTTGTGATTTTTCCAAAGAATTAAAACTTTTCTGATGAGTTGTGACATTTTTGAAAGGTTGTGGCTTTTCTAAAGGATAGTGACTTTTTTTACTAAGGAACAATAAACATTTTTTTCATACACTACCCTTTTGTTGGCTCTAAACAGAGGGATTTCTCAAATTTTTAAACTACAATTTTTCAAATTTTTCATTGTTCTTCTTCTTAAAACACCCAATTTAGTATATCTTCTATATTTTATATTATATTTAATTTTATATTATATTATATTAAAAGAAGACACCATATATTATATTATATACACATTCTCATGTTATATTATGTTAACTATGAATGGAGAGGTCTCCTCACATTTTAAACTAAGATTTTTTAATGTTTTCTACTTTTCTCTTCTTAAAAACTCAAGTTTGATTTATAGACGTTGGTGATCTCAAAGTTCAATGAAATTTGAACACTCCCTAACATGAATGTTAAATTAATATAATACACTACAACAAAAACAACTTTTAGCGGCAATAAATAGGCACATTAATAAAGAGTGTTAAAGTCTTTACCGACATTAGTTAAGTGTCATTATATCCAATGTCGCTAAATCATTTAGGGACATATACAAAGAGCGATAATTGCCGCTAAAAATACATATTTAGCGGCAATTGCTAATTAATTGTCGCTAAAGATTATTTTTGATATAGTGATACTTCAACTAAAAGCATCCAATTTACTATATCTTCTATATATTAAATCAATATTTATTTATATTATATTATAATAAAAGTAAGAACTCCAAAAAAATATTAATAACTAAGTAATGCACTATGTGGAAGGGAGTATAAAGTATATTTAAGAGGTACAACTAAGAGATATTAAGAGTGACTAACTTTCAGAAGTAATCATAAGAAAGTTTACATTCACTGTTTATAGGAACTTATACTTTATAATTCATTTTATAATTGTTTACTTATATTTTTTCTTCAATAATGTTCACATAATTTTCAAAAATAGTGTAGTACATGGTTTGATATTCACGTGCAACGCAGGTGCGTCAAAACTAGTATATATATATATGATCGATTCCACACATTGTAACTCTTAGAGCCCGTTTGGATTGGCTTAAAAGTCGGTCAAACCTACTTTTAAATCAGTTTTTGACTTTTGAAAGTATTTGGCAAATATAAAAAATAACTTAAAATAAGTTACGAAGTGTTGGACAAGGTAAAAAATGACTTAAAATAAGTTTTAAATGATTTAAAATAAGCCAAAAACCAAAAGTAGGTCTCCCCCTACTTTTTTTTTTTACTTAAAAGTCATTTCAGTTTGACTTTTTATTTTTGATTTAAAAACTACTTTTTTAAGCCAATCCAAACGGGCTCTTAGTTTGATTCTAGAGTATTAATTAATCTGACTTTTCGCTAATTACTTTTTACCTAAACTAAAATTCACTTTTCTCAGTTAGATTTCTTTTAATACACTAGAAAAGACATAATAGTGTAATTTATTACATGATTTTCAAATATATTAATTTTTTTATTTCAAAAAAATTATTATTTTCATATTCGAATTCATGATCAAAACTAAATTATTTCACTCTCTAATTTCGAATAATGCCACGTAAATTTGAAAAGACAGTTGTAATCAACTTTGTACAACACGTGTAACAATTAAATACCACTAAAATATGTCAATTACAGCACAATTGCATAAAAATACTATTGTAGTACAGTAAAATAAATAATTATGTATCTCAATTTAATACTCCCTCCGTTTCAAAAAGATTGGTCTGATTTGACTTGACACGAAGTTTAAGAAATTAAAGAAGACTTTTGAATCTTGTGGTCCTAAATTAAAATTATGTCAAATGTACAAAATTGCCCTTAATCTTGTGGTCTTAAACATGCCACGTGAAAAGCAAAAAGTAAAATGTTACCAAAAAAGGAAATAAGTCATTTTCTTAAAATTGATTAAAAAGAAAAAGAGGTCATTCTTTGTGAAACAGAAGGAGTATTAATTTAACTAAAAAAAGTGACATGACAACTGAACTTACCTTTTATTTTCCGAAAATACCTTTCCTTTTTTTTTTAAAGCCAATATTTAATGAAATTGAAAATAATAAAAATTTCAGAAAAAAATATTTTTTATATACTTAATACTTATATAGCAAATCTATACATTTCGCATTGTTACAGGTTGGTTATTTGAATACTAATTTTGCTTATGATGAATTTAAAGCTGCAACTAAAAAATGTTTTACAATGATCCCATAATAAATTACATTAATAACTGGTCATTTTAAACCTCAAATTATAATTTATAATATAATATAAACTAATGTGACAATGATATACCACTAAATATAAATTTCAGTACATTGCATTGTACAAAAAACCCACCCAATGAAAGTAATAATTATATTCTTCTACTATGGTCGAGGAGATTAATTTGGAGGATACATTGATACGCGGATTCATGATTTAAATTTTTAATATTGAACTTATTAGGTTGCTCGTCTTTTAATAAGAGGTTTCGAGTTCGAATTCTGAGTATAGAAAAATTCTTAGTAGGGAGCACTTCCCTTCAAATGAGGCTCTACACAAAGCGAATCCAAATTAGTTGGGCTCTAATGGAGGTACCAAACACCAAATAAAAACAAAAAAAAAACAAAAAAAAATTGAATCTATTAGATTTTTAAAATTATGAATTTAAATTTGTTACAATTTTAATAAATTATTACACATAAATTTATACTTCACGTCGAAAATACTGAATCCATGAACCCTGGGTCTTTCTCTCCACTATAAATACCCCTCTCTATGGCTTAGTTTCAACATAACCAAAAACTTGAACTTAGGAAGATACACATTGTGTGTTATATAGTTCAAAATAAGGTTATTTTTGAAGAATTAATATAATTCTCATAATTGATTATGGATTTTAATGTAACTAATTCCATAAAAACATCATCAGATGGAGTATGGCAAGGAGAAAATACTTTACACTATGCTTTTCCATTATTAATTATTCAAACAACATTAGTTGTGTTCCTTAGTCGATTGCTTGCTCTCCTTCTCAAGCCCCTCCGCCAACCTAAAGTCGTCGCGGAGATTCTTGTAAGTTTTATGCACTGTCAGTATATTCTTTCGTTTTATTTTAAAGAATGTTACGTACTATGGTCTCTCATCATTTTTATGTAATTAATCGAACATTTTCACAATTGTCCCTCATCATATGATTGCGTATATTGAGCATGGATATATGTGTGAAAAAACATTAAAATGCTAAAAACGTCAAATTTAAATTCTGAATCCATGACACGTTCATAAGGTGTTAGAGAAGGTTACATATATTTGTCCCTAATTGGTTGGTTGTGTAAGTAGTTTATAATGTCTTGGATTACTAAGTCCATTTTCTTTAACATTTTCGATTTTATTGTTCATATTATTTCACACTTATAAAGCTCTAAACTCGAACAAAAAATTCTATCATAAATATATCCTCATATAAATCAAACTTTTTGAAAGCAAATGTATCCCTTTATTGCTCATATTTGTGTATAAACACCTTTCGTACACTATATTATACACATTTATATAAGGTTGATACATTATATACAATGCTTTAATTTCTCCAGGTATAATGTTGTATAATATTATATAGGGAAAAAGAACAAATATAATCACGAACTATCGTAAATGGTATGCAGATACCCTCCGTCATACTTTTGGAACATTGGTGCCCATAACTAAAGCATATATACCCTTTATACTAATGGACATACACGTGTCACAATCTTATCCACCGACCCGACATTTATTAAATATCGGATCGACGGATAAGATTGTGTCACGTGTCCCTATTTAGTCTTCCGTTAGAGTGAAGGACATATATGCTCTAGTTTTTGGACGGTAGGGGCATCAATGTCCCAAAAGTATAGCAGGGGATATATTTGTCCTTTTTCCCTATTATATATTGGTCTATATGACGTAATATTTTATGTTGGATCGTATATTTTTGAAAAAAAAATCTTTTTTTTTGTATTTTAATTTTCAGGCAGGGATTATGCTTGGGCCATCAGCATTTGGGAGGAACAAAACATTCACAAATTGGATTTTTCCATCATGGAGTACTCCAATTCTTGAATGTGTATCAAACATAGGCCTATTATTTTTCTTATTTCTTGTTGGTCTTGAATTGGACTTAAACACCATACATAAAAGTGGAAAAAAAGCTATTGGAATAGCATTTGCTGGAATTTCATTGCCCTTTCTATTTAGCATTGGAGTTGCTTTTGTTCTAAGAAAAATAATCAAAGGGATTGATAGTGTTGGATATGGAGAATTTTTCTTGTTCATTGGTGTTTCACTTTCAATCACTGCCTTTCCTGTTCTTGCTCGAATCCTCGCGGAATTAAGGTTTGTTCAATTATACGATCATCTCATCTGAAACTTCAAGTTGATGGTCAACACGCACACTCACTCTCTCTCTATATAAAGGTGGTTTAGGGGTTAACCTAGATCTATATATGTCCAAAAAAGATGTCACATAGATGTTGTGGTGAAGCCATCACCCCTTTACTAGAAAATTATACCGTGTAGATCGATAGATAGACAACTTTTTTTTATTTATTTATGTTTTATATTACCTTTTTTGAATCCATATGTGGTTTATTTCTTTATATTCTGACTTCTCTTAGTGAAAATTCTATATCATATATGCTCAAAACTACTCCTACATGATTAATTAGGTTTGGAGGGAAAAATTGGAAACCCTAATTTTGAAAACTCGCGAAGGATATAGTTTTAATTTTTACTATATTTGAATAGCATGCCCTTTATTCATATGATATTAATATTGTTACATGCTTACTAAAAAAATCCTGCATACGTTACTACGCGTGTGATGTCATATTGAATTATGTACGACCATCGTTCATGTAAGGACTTTTAATTATATTATGTCTCGACAGGTTACTGACTACACAAATTGGTGAAATGGCTATGGCAGCAGCTGCATTCAATGATGTTGCTGCATGGATTTTACTTGCTCTTGCCATTGCTCTAGCAGGAGGAGGAGGAGTTCATCATAGTCCTTTAATTTCACTATGGGTTTTTCTAAGTGGAATTGGATTTGTGGTTTTTATGTTCCTAATTATTAGGCCAATTATGATTTTGGTGGCAAAAAAATCATCAAATGGGAACAACAATATTGTTGAAGAAACTTACATATGTTTAACCCTAGTTGGAGTTATGTTGTTTGGTTTTATGACTGATTTTATTGGTATACATGCAATATTTGGAGGATTTATATTTGGATTAATTATTCCAAAAAATGGGGATTTTTCAGAAAAATTGATTTTGAGAATTGAAGATTTTGTGTCTGGATTATTATTACCACTTTATTTTGCATCAAGTGGTATTAAGACAAATATTTCACAAATTCATAGTGTTAGGGCTTGGGGACTTGTGGTTCTTGTTGTGTCCACAACTTGTGTAGGCAAAGTTTTGGGGACTTTTGTTGTGGGAATAATGTTGTGTTCAATGCCAATGAGAGAAGCTTTAGCACTTGGATTTTTGATGAATACAAAAGGGTTGGTGGAGCTAATTGTTCTAAATATTGGCAAGGAGAAAAAGGTTAGTTTTTTACTTTTATATGTGTTTCAATTTATACGATGTTGTTTGACCAGATATAGAATTAAAAAAGCGAAGAAACTTAGCTTTTATGGCATGTGGGGAGTTTTCTATGGCGATAAGAGAATATATCGTTAAGGGTCAAAAATTGAATATATAAAAGAAAAGAATTTTTAAGGTAGAAAAGTGACATTCTTTTTTAATTGATTAAAAATAATATAAATGTAAATATATAACTGTTAAAATTCTCGCATAGACTCTCAATGAGTGATGATTTGATCTTTTTATATGATTTCGAGCAATCTCACTTCATGAGTTAGTATTTTAGGGAGAAATGTATCCAAGCTAGGTTTAACTTTTTTTTTAATTATAATATCAATCAGAACTACACTCATTTTAATTCTCGATTTACCAATATTGAGCCTCATATTTTTCTGGTTGCTTATCAAATTTAAAAATAGTTAACAAATAAGAGAAGTTAATTAGAGTCGCAATTGAATAATGATAATTACTCATTTTACTTGGAATTATTTTATATGTACACTTTTGATGTATTATGTTATATTTTTAATATATTAAACCGTTCAATTATATTTTTGACAATTATATATTACAACTAATTTTATTTTTTTTGCTCCATTATTAGGTTTTGGACGATGAGACGTTTGCAATATTGGTGATCATGGCACTTTTTACAACCTTTATCACAACTCCTATAGTAATGGCTATTCATAAACCATCATCAACACAAGATCCTCAACTCGAAAAACCACAAAAAAAGATAAAAAAACAAAACAATCTTCGAATCCTAGCGTGCTTACGTGGCCCGAGGGATGCACGTGCACTCATTAACCTCATCGAGTCACTAAGGTCTGACAAAAATAACAATAACTACGCCTCAGTCACAAAACTCTACGTGATGAGACTCGTGGAATTCACCGACCGACTCTCATCCATATCAATGGTCCAACGTGCCCGAAAGAACGGTTTTCCGTTCATCGGCCGAGTGCTTTTTCGAGATGACGCGACCGATCAAGTGGGTGCGGCGTTCGAGGCGTATAGCACACTAGGAAAGGTCATGGTCCGACCCACAATGGCTATCTCGGGTTTATCGGATTTGCATGAGGATATTATTCATGTTGCGGAGAAAAAACGAGTCGAATTGATTATTTTGTCGTTTGATAAATATTGGCAAATGGAAGGAAATGAAGAAATGGAGATTCATGCAGGTAAGAGTAAGACCATAAGAGTGTCAAATGAGCCGTTGAATTACATTTAATAAGCATGTTAAAAAGATAGTCAAACTAACAAATGAGTTGAGTCCAATCAAACAATATAAGTTTTTTTTTCCTATTATTTATATCATGATTACATTAAACAAATAAAACATATAAAAATTCTAATTTTTTTATGCTTTGATTATATGTTAATTTTATTGTCAATTGTAGGGTAGGTGTGTCTTAAACATTAGATGACTAATTGGACTATGCCAAAAATGACACTAGTCGATAAAAATAGGTTAAGTTGAATCTAAATTTCATTTTCATGAGCTAATTTTGATATCCCGACATGTAGGGCACGGATGGAGAATGGCGAATGAGAGAGTGATGAGTCAAGCGCGGTGCTCGGTGGCGGTGGTGGTTGATCGTGGATTACAATTGGTTAATAATGGGATGAGAATTTGCATTGTGTTTTTTGGTGGAGCTGATTGTAGTAAAGCTTTGGAAATTGGTAGTAGAATGGTTGAACATCCTGCTATTAGGGTTACATTAGTAAGATTCATTCATCATGGAAGTACTAATTTTGATGAAGTTGAAAGGTAAAACTAACTAACCCTTCTCTATATATGCATTTGTTTATTGGTGTTGGATAACGTCAATATCCTGCCTATCACAAAGTCCACGAGAGGACTGGGTTGACCCTGGTTGTAGTCATGATTGAACATGAATGACACTTGTTTGGTTACCCTAGTTAAGAAATATAAAGTTGCGCTCATGCTACTAGCTATAGCTTTTAGGCATGATGGTATAAATGTTTGATCCTAACAGATGTATTATGTGTTGTTTTTTGTTCCAAACAGGACTTTGGATGATTCTACTATTGCAGAATTCAAGATGAAGTGGGGTAAACAAATTGTATATAGTGAGAAAGAAGCAAATAATTTGATGAATGAAGTGTTGGAAATTGGAAAAAGTGGAGAATTTGAACTTATGATAATAGGGAATAATAAAAGTAAGTTTCCACAAGGCATAATGGCAAAACTATTTGATGAGCAACAATTGAATATTTCAGAATTTGGGCCATTGGCTAATTTATTGGCTTCATCAGACAAAGGGATAAAAAGTTCTGTTCTAGTGATTCAACAACAACAACAAGAAGCTAAGTTTGGGAACTCAAAAGTGGCTAGTTGCTTTATTGACAAGGATATTGTGTGAATCATTTGATATAATAATAAGGTATTATCAAATTAGTGTTAGTTGTAGCTGTTTTCTTGAGTCGAGTGTCTATTGAAAATAACTTCTCTATCTCACGAAAGAAAGAGATAAGGTATGTGTACACACCATGCACACTCCAGACCCCACCAGTAAGACTATGTTGTTGTTGTTCTAGCGGTTGAATTTGAAGAATAGTAGTTAATTTTATGTATTGATGTGTCTGGTATGTATCTGTAGAATGAATAAATATGTTAAAAGTATATAATTATCTCATCTAAAAAGTTACGTTATGTTTCCAATACGTCTCTTTACGTGCGTGCTTTGCTTCTTGAGTCACATATATGTAATGTATCAAGAACTATGTGATTCCTAAGGGAACAGACAATAAAACCACCAACTATCATTGGATTATTTGTACTATTAATAAACACACTGGGGTTGGGGGAGGGGATATGTACGCATACATCACTCCCCTCTCGGATACACCCCTTACCTACGTATGTAAACATAAATCCAAAATACGAAAAAAAATATGTAAACTGTGCATAAAATCAAATCGCATAATTATGCAGAATTTGGTTGGCGATATTAAATAGTAACGAGTTAACTTCAGTTAACGCATGAAGTAACAGAAGGTTAGTTGAATGATCACAATTCACACAGAATGACATAGATGGCTACAAAAGCCTAAGCACACAATTCACGAGCCAGATGAAGATGTTAAGCTGCCAAAGCCATTTATCCAAAGATCTTTCATATGTCCATATGCAAACACACAGAAAAAAGACATAATATTCAAGAATCTCCAATATATAGGACAGAAACAGAAACAAAAATGGTCTTTACAAATCCAAATGTAACCTAAACGTTTTTTAGCCCCGAATAATGGTCTTCAACAAGAGTCTAATTCTGTTTGTGCTTTTGGCTCTTTCTTCTTTAACAGGAGGAGCGATTAACCCAATCTGCTGGCAATGGTACAAATATTAACTATATTCAGACACACAATTCCTTTTTTTTTCCAATAAGACATGGAGAAAATTGAATCTCGAAGGGCAAAAAATAACTAAGGGAAGTTATAACATGTACTGCCGTCAGAGGAAACCTCCATCGGTCCATTTGGAATCTGATTTTCCAGCATGAACGGCAGCATGTTTATTGTTGGATGCACTCTGGTAGTGATTATCAAATCCATCGTCCTGGCCGTCATCCCATCCAGCCCAGTCATCGTTCTTGTTGTTGGGTGCTGCTGCTGCCTTTGTAGGATTTACTTTGCTTTTGTCTTCATTGTCCCAATCATCCCACGACCCAGAGCTAACAGAATTAGCGTTCCTTCCAGAGGACTGGGCTCCTCCAGAAGCATTCCATCCTTTAGAATCCTGATTAAAGTCCTGATAATAGCCATTCTTTTCACTTTCACCTCGCTGCCAGCTATCATTCTTCCAGGCCGGACTTTCCTTGGTATATTCCTCTACCTTCTGTGAAGCCATGGCCAAGACTCCTTTCATGATACCCCAACTCTTTTGTCCAATCTCACTTGTTTTTGCCGTGACAACGCTGACCGTTTCATTAACCTTGGTATCATATCCACCTTCTTTCACCTGAAAGAACAGGATTGGCACACACATCTCAACTATCATTTAACTACACTGCTCCTTTTTGTAAACAACATACCAGAGATGAAAAGTAGACTATATGATTGATGAAAAATTAAAAAAAGAGCAAATATAAATAAATAAAACTGAAGAGCAGACTTTTAGCAAGCACATAAACAACTTCAAAGAGAGAATTCCAGCTCAGATGAAAATAGCCAATTGATTCATTCTACGGCAATTCTCATGCCTATGGAATACAGGGTAAACATTATAGACTCCAACTCATAGAGAATGGACGTGTACACCAAATAATATATTTCTGGCAGAATAGAAGTAAACTCTGGTTCAATTAAAACATGTGATAGTGAATGGTATTTTATCCATCGAACAGCAACTCTTTTCTCCTATAGAGATATATCGTAGGAACTATAGGGACCCCATTGGTCTAAATAATTCCATGCAAGTGCACCCTTCTTTCAATAATGCAAGTGTAGTATTGTCCCAGACAATTTATGGACAATAAACGGAACAAAAAAGGACCATTATATATTTAAAGGATTGAACTGATCAATACAGGTATCAGATGTTACATATTTTTATAAGCACCACATAAGGTGTGTAACAATGGTATAGCAGAGAAACACAGAAACCTTGGTGAGACTGCATATGCAAGGACACTGTTTATGATATAGCACCCAAGATAATCATTTATTTACTTCCCTAAGTCTCTGTTCAGATGATATAGCGAACGGCACTCAACCCAGCTTACATAAAATAGCAGAAGACAGCATGAATCTCTGTGGGAGGTAGTATGTCTTCAACCCTAGAACTAATAAATAGAGTTAAAATATTTGCATGGTTCCTGACTAGAACTAAATATCTGATACCTCGCTCTGCAACCTTTTTGGAGATGAAAGTTAAAGGAAAATCCTAGTGGATATTCACTCACAAAGACCTAACTAATTAAGTAATTATATGTTCACATATTTGAGCTTCACAAAGCCTGAATAAAGGTGGCTGATTGTACTTTGTAGTGTGTACGGCCAACATCAAGACCGTCTAACTATGGACTTGAATTGTGCAGATTGACCGTTACAAGCTAACTACGGCCAACATAAAGATTGTCCAACTATGGCTTTGTTGGCTGGTGTTAGGTTTGAGTCCATGCAGATCGTCTAACTACAGGGATATCCCATTGTCCATTTTGGATAACTTAATTACTCCATTTTCTACTCTTCCTCTAACAACGGTTACCAACCAGAGCTCTTTGCAAAACTCCCCATTTTTCTCTAGTGCCCTTGGTATACTCCCCCCACTTTCAAAACATTACCTGATAAATATACTTGAGCTTCATTTGTTTGCACTTAATGAAAGACTTAATCATAATTATTCAGATCTCAGTCATTAAGTTTGTTTTTATAAAGGAATGAGATGACAGGGAAATGGAGGAAATGATCCTCTTTCTGCAGATGATAGGTAGCTTCCAAGGACAGCAATTAGTACCAAATAAGATGGTATGGAAAGAACACAAGGATGGCCTTTTCTTAGTTGAGTCTAATTACGAAGTATTGTCACAAAGTAGACGACAAGAACAAGTATGACCGTAGAAATTGATATAGAGAAAGTTAGAAACAAACCACCTTATAAAGTAGAGTTGGCTAGTGGCAAGAGAGGCTTGCTTGACCCAAAAAAAGGAATCAAGGCATATCTCGAGAATTAAAAACAGCAAGTGTATGTAAAGTAGAACACAATTACATAACCATTAATTTTAAATCCAGAAATCGAATCAAAATACCTTAGAAGTCAACTCCTTTGTCCCCACTTGAACCACACTTGCAGCTGACTGTGCTGCCGTTGCAGCTATCATAGATAACCTACCAAATCCCTACACATACCACATCGCAACCCGATCAGCTATAAGAAACTAGACATAAAACAACACAGCAGAACAGGTACACACAGTTTACTCTTTATGCATAATAATAATATTACCTGTGTCCCAACATATACGCACTATTTCCATATATCTCAAAACGTTTGACAAATTCTCAACTTTGGAATTCAAATTCATTAACTACTCACATTTTTAACTTTGATCAGATGTTCCTTACCCGGATTACTTTTCAACTATCACTAGTATAATATATAAGTAAGTTCACATATAACTTCTGTTCAATCAAATCACAACATGTAAAATGTAAGGGAAGGTGAATAACCTGAGTAACAGCAGAAAAAACATCTCCTTGCTGATTCATGTTATTCCTAGGCATTGGGGCAGGATTTGATCCAAACCCAACATACTTCCCTCCTTGAGAGGGCGGAAGCCCATCAGGCCGGGACTCATTCTCAGCCATTCTCCTCGCAAAAAAGTTATCTTTATTCGCAGCTGACGCCTCATACTGCTCCTTCGAGATATCAGCAGTCGACCTCGACCTAGCTGGTGCACCACCACTACTACCACCACTCCTAAAATCTCCCACCGTCTGATTCCTCCGAATATCTTTAGTATTACTACCACTAAACCCTCCATCATCATTATTATCCCAACTATCCCATCCACCATTCCTACTGCCGCCGCCGCCGCTGCTCAACGGTGGTCTACTACCATTATTACTTGCTGATCCCCTCAAAACCTCCTTAACAACTGGTGGATCCCTCCAGGGCTTTCCCTCAGCTAGGGATTGGATCCTGTCACGATAAACAGTAGCAGCTTTTGTATTGTATTTGGTAACAATATCAGTTTCCTTCGGAATCCCATAATGTAACACGAATTTGTTGAAACTCTCGTTACCACCAAGCTCCATTTTCCGGATCTGGATCTCAGACCATGAATCCATGGTAACAGATCGGACAAACGAGATATGTACCCCAAGCCCTCGATGCTTACCGGAGCATTCCAAGCACATGAAAACTCCGTACGAAACTGAAGCCCATTGAGGATTCTTCTGAGAACAATCGACACAGATCTTGTTCCCCGGTTGGGCTTGAAGATCTCGTAGCCTCCGTGATGCCGCCATCTGACCCGGATCCGATTCGGAAGTGACTCGAAATCGGATCTGTGGAGTGATCGGAGAATCGAAAATTGAGATCAACAAAGAGGAGAATTGATCGGCCGGAGAAATTGCGGTTTAAAGAGGAGATAAATGGCCGACACCGAAAAAGAGATGAGTTGGATATCGGCTGGATTACAATTAGACCTTTTTTTGTCGTTTAGTTTACAAATAATTTTTAATTTTTTTCCTACATGAGGAACATGGTTAATTATTTTGGGGCAAGAGAGTTGGCTAGTCGAAAACTCTCATGTTCAGACGATGAGTATGTAGAGATATGGATATTAAGATGAATGTGTGGGGTTATTAAGAGGATACGATAAGATGCGGGAAGTAAGATTGAAATAGTTTGAACATC